AGGCCAAGCCACTAATTATCTCCCCTCCCCCCACCTTGATGTCTTCCTGCTCAGTCACCACACTTACGGGACAACATTACAGTTAAACATGGAAGGCGTTTCCTGAATGCTTACAGAACACGGATAAGGAGCAGTGGGACTGAACGCAGCAGCAGTTCAACGCACAGGTAATGCTAAAAATGTGCTGATGTCGGGCTAGGACATGGGACACCTAGATAAAACAGAGGAGGGGGGGAGCTCCCCCCAGTAGAGCATCCCATAATAACCATGACGAATGAATGAGCCCAGAACACCCTTTACTCTTAAAATGCAGACACAGGAAAGCACACAAACAGCCACTGTGGCCCTCCCCGCCCCATAAGGTATTGAGACACCCAGACTCACCACTTTGGCCTTCTGGGGCCCTGGGGCCAGGTCCTCGCCTGTTTTCTGGGGCCCCGGGGCCAGGTCCTCAGCAGCTTTCCTTGGTTTGGGTTCGCCAGTGGTTGGGGTGCCGGGCAAAGAGCCGGACCCCTCAATGGAAGGGCCAGCTGGTGTCTCTGTGACGTTCAGCGCCAGGATATACTGCTTGGTGACGTCTTCCAGGGAGGGGGTCTGCTCCGCCGGGTACAGTTTGGGCCGGGTTGGCGTGGGGACGCTGATGGGGACACTGTGATGGGGGACTGGGGGCCCCTCTGGGGCCACGATGGGCGTGAAGGTGGCGGGCTCGCTGGCGTGCCGTACGTGTTTGCCCCGTGGCGTGCTAGACTGCTCAGGGTCGCTGGTCTGCCGTGGTGGTGCCGCCGGTACCCGAGAGCCTCTCTTCTTGTAACTACGGCGCGCCATGCGGGGGGACAGTACCTCTGCCAGCTTGGGGTCGAAAGGGAGACAGGGGGCTGCCCCGGTGGGGGCGGGTTCCGGGGCCGGGGGTGGCACATGCTCTGAGTGTGGCCAGGCCTTGCCGTCCGCCCGGTGGTGCCGCCGCTCGCCCAGCTCCGCCAGTTCGTCCCGCTGCTCTGACAAGATGGGCTCACTGCTGGAGGGTGGGATGGCCTGCTCTAACTCACTGATGGGCTCGCTGGAGTCCACAAAGCCTAGTCCGTCGGACCCCGCTGGCTCACCACGCCGGCTCGGATCGCTGAAGGATTTCTTCTTGCCGGCCTTGCCGTTGGCCTTGTCATCGCCGAGCTTGTCCATGGCGCCGGGCTCGTGTACGATGCTGCGCAGGAGCGTGCTGTAGTCCCGCGGTGACTCACTGCACACCGACAGGTCACTGGCAGCGCTGCCTGTGCCCTCCCACGGTGCCTGGATGCCCGCCTTGGCGTTCAGCGAGCCCAGGAGGTTGCTGTCCACAGAAAAGTTCTCTGCGTCCTCAGGGACGGAACGCTGGCGGTGCGGCATGGGGTCACTGAGGGAGCGGTACGCCTCCCCGTTCGACTCCCCATTACTCCCGTTGCTGGAGTCCGAGCCGTTGGTCCCGGTTGAGGAGAACTTCCTCCTGCGACGGAGGGTGCTGGGTGTGGAGGGGGTTTCTAGGGGCCCTGGGCTGGTGTCTTTGTGAGGCCCTGGCTCACTGACGATTGCCACGGCTTCATATTCCGTCCTCACTGCCGGCGTTGGGACAATCTTCTCCGGCTTCAACTCTGGTGGCCCCTCCTGGTACAGGCCCGATTGGCTCCATGCAGTCAACGTTTGCCCCAGGAGGTCTGTGCCTGACGAAGCTCTGCATGAGCCAGTCTCGGGCTCAGTCACTATCCCTTCGTCGGTCAGGCTGGACTCGTGCCCGGATGACTCATCCATGGACTTGTCATAAAACACATTCTCATCAGATCCCCCCTTTCCTGAAAGCTTCTCACCGTCTTGCATCTCTCCTGAAACTGACATGGCTGTGTCCTTCTCTGCTACATCTCCACTCCTCCGTTCATCCTGCTCCTCTTTCTCTTCATCGTCTTTTCTTCGGAAATTTTCATCGTCCTCCCGATCCATCCCAAATAAATCCTCATCCCGAGCCCCCATCTGACAGATGTCCCGAATCACCTGTCGTGCCTCCTGGATGTATTGGTCTTGCAGAGGTGTGGGCATCTGTTCCTCGTAGTCGTAGTCCCTCTGGCAGTCATCGCTTTGTACCTCCCTGTCGGGCACCAGTGCCTCCCCATCCCCAGGTATGTCCAGGTGCTGCTCTGAGTTGCTCCTCTTCGCCGTCACACCAGGGAAATAGCGCCGCCCTAGTGGCTTGTCAGAGTAAGTGAATGACTTGGCACGTCGAAGGGTGGCGGTGAGGTCCTTGAGGGACAGGCGGCCCTGTGCAGATCCCTGGCTCCTGGCCCCCATTTTATACACTGGGGAGGCGGCTGAGTTTAACCTGCACCCGTCTTCATTCTGATCTGCGCCCACACGCCCTTTCTTTCGAACCTTGAGCTCAGACAGGTCTGTCTTGAGGAAGCTGAGCAGACTGAGTGTCTCTGAGGTGATGTCTGGGTTCGACATGGACATCCGCTGCTTCTCCTTCTCGCTGCTGAGGCCGCGACGCAGACCCCAAGTCTCCGAGGCTGTGTTCTCACCACCACCTGTAGTTAACAGGGGTCTGGACCAGACACGGGTACGAGGGAAATTGTCCCCATAGCCGAGGCTGGGTGACCTGTACATGGTGAAGTTGCCGTGGAAGGCCTTGCATGTCCCAGAGGTACCTCCGGCAGCAGATGAGTGGTCCTCATCCTTCAACGTCTCTGTGCTGGAGTACCTGCTGCTGCTTCTGGAGCCACACGGGCTGAAGGAAGGGATGCTGACTTTGGACACCCGGGACACCACCGGCACAGGGGTGGGGGTAACCCCATCGGAAACCCCCCTGTAGAGCCTGCCAGGGCGCTCCCAGGGCTGCCCCGACAAGCAATGCCTGCTTTTGGGCCTATCGGAGCGCCACCCCACATGCTCCCCATCCCCCGGGGGCTGGAATCGCTTGCCGGGCTCCATCACAGGGACCCCGTCGCTGTCGTCCGACTGCCCATAGTCCTTGGTCGGCCCCGCCCCACTGTTGCTCCTCTTCTTCCTCCTTAGGGATCTCCTCCTGCTGTTGTCTCTGCCGGGGCTTACTGGCACAGGGCTGTCCTCCTCACTGCCCGATGACCTCCCTGGGGATCTGGCCCGGGTGCCATTTTTGTTTCGGGAGAAAGATACAGCTGCCCCAGCACGTCCGTATGAGTGACTTCCCCTGCTTCCCCGGCTACACCCTTCCTCCTCCTCGCCTTCCTCACCCGAGCTGGGACCCGAATGCGCTGGTGCCACAGAGGGGGCAGCCTGTGGTTTACAGGAACTATGCGAGGAATGTAAGCTATCCAGTGGCTGTGTCTGCTCCTGCGGGTGCTGCTGTCGTCCCGGTGAGAGTACACAGCTTGGCAGTCGGGGGGCCACAGAGCTGCTGCGAGGCGGGGGTGCCGGCGGAACGGGCTTGGGGCCCCGACTCTCTTCACGGGTCTCGTGGGGGTCCGGTCCCTCGTCTGAGTAGTGTCTTGTTTTAAAATGAGAGTTCAGACCCTGATATTGGCTCCGGAAGCAGCTCAGGAGGTGCTCACCTCCCTTAGCTGAGGGGGCATTAAGATCTGGACCATTATCTTCCTGCCGAATGTGTACCCGGCTGGTTTGCCCTTCTCTGTGGTCCGGTCGAAACGTATCCTGGACCCCAGGGCCCCAGTGACTAGCAGGTTTTGGTTCGTCGCCGTCGGAAGTGGACCTGTACTTTTTCCTGTTACTGTCCCCAAACAGTTCTCTAATTTTAGGCACACTTGGCCAGTTCGTCAGGTCCACATGAAACAATTCGCCATGGGTCGAAAAGTATCCCCGGTGCGCCCTGCAAGGCGCAGTTCCGGCAGCAAACGCGTCTCTTCCCGAATTTAAAGATTTGGGATCGCGGGGGGCAGCGGGCACTTGCAAAGGATCTCTCTTACCTCCGCCCCTGACCGTATCCGCCGTGCTGTCAGTCGTCGGTCTTTGAGTTCTCTCGGGATAGGAACCGGGAACCGGGTCACACGATGAGCAGCTCTGCTCCGGAACACCATCCGCTAAAGTGGCCACAAACTCGGCGTCGGGAGCCGCCAGATACCCAGCGTCTGCTCTGGGTATTCTCCGCGAAAGCTGCGCCCCTTCCAGGCGTGTATCTACGTCCGAGCTTCTGTTGAACCTCACCGACAGCTGCCGTATGGAGGGCGATACTGCGTGGGGGGAGCCTTTGTGCAGATCTGCGCTTCGGAGCCCGGCCGCCGAAATCTTGGAAACTTTTCTTGGCGCTGCCGACGGCTGCGCTTTCTCCACTGCGGTCTGAGGATCTGGAGCTGGAGGGGGAGCGGAGACCGGGGGGGGAAGGGCACTCCCGTCCGAGTCGCTTGATTTGTGTTGTTGATCCTCTGCTCCAGAAGCAGTCCTGTTGGCGCTCCAGTTGTCCAGCTTTTTGAAAGAGACGTTCCTGTGCACGGATACCTTCTTCTCCATAGTGCATGTCCTCCTTTTGTTTCTGCCCACCTTCTATTCCATAGCTGAAGGCGATCCTTCTTCCGAGATGGTGCAGGAAACTGCCTCAAACAGCCATGTACCCACCGCTCGGTGCGTGGAAATTGCAAAAAGAGCAGCGGAGCGGCTATTCACGCGAAAACGGGTGAATTAGATATTAGTCCGTGCGAGAGGGGGGGGAAAGCCGCATTCTACGCTTTCCGCTGCGCGGTTCCGCTGCACTCCCACCCATCCACAGAAAAGGGCTCAAAGTTTGGTCAAACTTTTCTCCTGACTTCGTCGGCTCCGCAGCCCCTGCATCGACTTCTAAAAAGCACCACTTTTCCGACTGCAGTCCCATTTCCAGTCCTGCGCGGCCGCATCCACACGCATCTCTCCCCTTTCCTCGAATCCCGCTTTCTGCTGTATTTGTTATTTTGATATAATTAAGTTTTCCCGTGACTTGTGTGTTTTACATGCAAATGCTGGGTCCCGGCGGTGGGCGGGATTACAATGATAGGGTCGGCTTAGCCCCTTAGGTATGGGGAAAGTTTTCCTTTTAATATGGGATCTAAAGAAGCCTAATCCATGTAGTATTAAATCCTCAGTAAGTAAACGACACTTTCACCGCTGTTAATTACTACATCTTGTAAAGCTCTGATATGAATAAATCTATGCGCTGAGACCGTCCGCTTTTAATGAATTTACTCCAGAGTTGTTTTTGTAAATTTAAGTAACCAGTTTGCATTGTTTTAGCGATGCAGCACTAAGCACTTGAGAATGATATGAGTGCTTCTCTTTCATTCTGCAAACAACGCCTCTTTTGTGCGCTTCCTTTTAACAGACTGCTTTTTTAAACAGTTCTTTGTCCTCCGCGCCGCGAAACGCCGGTTGCCGCGTCCCCTAGCGGCCGGCGCGGTGCAGCGCGCCCACTGGCCTCGGCCCCTTGTGTCGTTACTGCCCTCTATGAGCCCTGGTGGGTCAGGGGTATTACCCGGGGTGTGTCGGGATGAAATACACCGAAGAGCGAAAAAGAGAAGCTTCATGGTTGAAATACCTTTATTGTCACACAAATGGCACACAGATTGCATGGGTACATCCAGACTAACAAAACTCAGCAGCGAGACAATTGGAAACACGATTCACAATAAAACAAACATTTGTGAGCCTGATAGACATTAAGACGAATTCATTCAACGAAAACACGAAAAATCAGTGCTGGCAACAGTTAATTTAATTTTAAAGTATCATTACTTTTAAATACATCTACAAACAATCAACGAAACTCACAGACATTTAACAAAAACTGCCAAATAAGCCAAAGTTGCCACTTTGAACTGCATCTGTTTAGTTTTATGTTAAACTACGTTGAATGCTACACGCAGAATGCAAAACAGTACACAGTGTAACATATTTAAACTGGACTGAATTAACGCCAAATACGTTTATATTACTGGACTATCTTGGATTATGTTCACGAGAGTCATCAGGCAGGATCACTCGATTACGGTGATAAACACTGTCTGCATCTCCACTGACGCAATATTTTCGGCGCAGCACCGGACGTCCATAGAAACGTCAGTCACAGTTATGGCTACATACGCAGCTCTTAATAGACAGCTGCAGGCGCTACCACCGTGCGTGAAGCCCTTCTCCCGCAGGACCCACGCGGATATTGACCACTGTCGCAGTCCTCGTCGTCAATACGGGCATTTCAGGAGCATTATCAGGCCGCTCGCGCCATCTTCTGGTGAGCACCAAGACCTACACTCTCAGTCCGAACGCTGCACGATGATGATGATGATGATGATGATGATGATGATGATGATTTCACTGCTCGGTTGGTCTGTGAGTTAACTCACGCCTCCAGGACCGGAGGTTTGATTCCCCAGCCCCATCCCTGTCCGTGGAAGATGCATAGGATTTATCTGGATGTTCCTGCTTAATCTCACGCCAAAGATGCATGTTTTGGTAGATCAGTATCTATACCCATCCAGGTAGCCAGTCCCTCTGCTTTCTAGGATACGCTCCACACTCACTGTGGATAATCAGTTTTGGAATATAACTTCATAGACGACATGGCTGCATTATATACATAACGTACAAAATCCCCCAGTGACACACGTGGCTGTATGTAAACATCAACATGCATGACCTCTCATTTATATCCGCCCTTTCTCACACATGTAGTTCCCACAGCTGGCCTCTGAGACGACAGCTCTTCCCCTGCAGTGCCCCCCCAGTGTAACGTCCAGCCTCCTAATCCTAACCCGTTACCCCCCCCCCTTTCATCCACCCACCTTCTGGTCACAAATCAACTCCAGTAACCTTATTGGCCATTTACTAGGGATTTCACCTCATAAACAGTCAGGCTAAACAATGCAGCCATTTAAATGCTATGTGAATAGCACTCAGTGCCGATCAAAGAGGTGCCATTTTAAGCGAGGATCACCACCAGCGCCCCCTGCCTGAAAATAAGTGAAACTGCCTTGCAAAGTGGATCCCTGAGGAGATTAGTAATCCCCCCAAATGCTGCCACCTTTAAAACCAGGCTTAAATCATTTTTACTCGACAGTGCCTTTGATTAGCGCTGCTAACCAATATTGATGCATTTTCTTTTACTCTTATTTCAATTGTCTTTTACCTGTAGGTTTTCATTTTCCATTTAATGATTCCTCTCACTTTATCTTTTTATGTACAGCCTTTCGAATGAACTCGGTGCTGGAAAATGTGCCATTTAAATGAATTTGCCTTGACTAAGTTGGCATCCCACCCAGAAGAGGGCGCCGTAGCTGGGCGGCGCTTCTTACAGCATTCACTGGGATGTACACCTGTATAGCCATGAAGGAAAAGGAATGTTTTATAATTTACATACTGCCAGCAAGGTGGCGCAGTGCTCAGCACTGTTGCCTCACACTTGTGTTCAGTTCTCCGCGCGGGTAACTGTGTGTGCAGTTTGGATGCCCTCCTCGTCATCATGGGGTTTCCTCTGGGTCCTCTGCTTCCCCCCACAGTCCAAAAACATGCAGAGGTTAGTTGTAGTTGCTAAATTGCCCATAGGTGTGCATGTGTGAGTGTGAGTGTGGGTGTGGGTGTGGGTGTGACTGTGAGTGTGCCCTGCGATGGGTTGGTACCCCATCCTGGGTTGTTCCCTGCCTTGTGCCTGTAGCCTCTGGGATAGGCTTCAGACCCCCCACCACCACCACCCTGAACAGGACAAGCAGTTGCAGAAAATGGATGAATGGATGGATACTGACTTAACTTTGGTCTCCCTTTGCCCACATGAGCGCAAGGTGGCTATTTTAAGTACCAGCTACATCTTGCAGGGCCACGCCCCTGCCCCCCCCAGGCCTCACACTTGGGGTGTCACGTCCCTCATGGTGGTGATCCTCTGCAGCAGCGTCCGTGTGCTCTTCCGGAAGCGAGGCTGCGTGAAGTAGAAGAGGATCGGGTCCAGGACGCTGTTCATGCTGGCGAAGGGCCGCGTGCTCTTGTACACCACCGAGTAGAAGTTCCGCACGTGGCACGGCGCCCCCTTGAGGGCACGGACCAGCAGGTACGCCGTCTTGGTCAGGTGGAAGGGCAGGAAGCTGACGGCGAAGACCAGCACCACCACGGCGATCATGCGCACGGCCTTCTCCTTGCGCTCCTGCGAGGCCACGGTGGCCGCTGGTCTTCCCTGGCACAGCACACGTGCCATCAGGCAGTAGCAGACCACGATGGCCAGGAAGGGCAGGCCGAAGCCCAGGCAGGTCAGCGCCATGCCGTAGGGGAAGTACTCGGCAGAGCGGCGCGGCTCGCTCAGATCATAGCACACTGTCCGGTTCCTCTGCTCCCCCGTGGTGGCGAAGGCGAGGGTGGGAGCGCACAGGGCCAGCACCACGGCCCAGACGACGGCACACGCGGCCCAGGCACACCGCCGGCCCCCGGTCCGGTGCCAGGTAGCTAGCGGGTGGCAAATGCCCAGGTAGCGCTGGAAGCTGATGCAGGTGAGGAACATAATGCTGCCATGCAGGTTACTGTAAAACTGGAAGCGCACCAACTTGCAGAGCAGCTCGCCGAAGGGCCAGTAGTCGTGGCTGGCGTAGTTGTAGATGAGCAGCGGCAGCGAGCAGACGTACAGGAAGTTGGCGGCCGCCAGGTTCAGCATGTAGACGGTGCTGCGTGTGAGGGCGCGGCTGGAGCGGCAGACCCGCAGGATGACGGCGCCGTTCAGCGGCAGACCCACCACGAACACCACGCTGTAGACCACCGGCAGCAGAAGTCTCTTGAAGTCCTCGCTGTACGTGCAGGACGGCAGCCCGCCCAGCGTGCCGTTGTGTCCCGGGGAGGCCATCTGTGTCGCTGTGGTGACACGCCAGGGAGCTCTGGAACGTGCGGAGAGCATCGGTCAGACATCAGCACCGCCCAACACAACGACAAATTTAAAGCCTAACATTTCTTGCACATACAGAGATTACTTGACTGCTACTTAATAATTGTACTATACAGGAGCCCTTTAAATTATTATTTTATATAGTTTATTATATATTTATACTTAAACTATTACTATGTACATACATATATAATTACATATTTAATTATATCATTATTACTATTATTATATAATTATACTATCCAAATACTAATTGTCAGGGATCCGGGCGGCTCGGGCGCGGGGACATGGCACGGTGCAGGAACACAAAAGGTGGACGACCCACTGGCAGCTCCAAGAACACAAAGACGGGGTTTATTAAGTAAAACAGAAAACACTATGAACACAAAAACGGGGTTTATTAAGTAAAACAGAAAACACTATGAACATAAAAACAAAACAACCACAAGAGGTCAAAAACTAAAGGGGGAAAATAAAGACTAAATGTACAAAGGGGAATCAGGAAAATAGGCAACAAAGTATCCTAAACTAAACTAAACTAAACTACAACAAAACCTTCAAGATCTAGCAGCAGCAACAATCGTCAAACAACAATCAGAGAGCTCTAAGAACCACTAGGGAACAGAACAGATATAGGGATTCAGAAACCAAAACTGGGTAATAAGACTAAGACAGGACAGGGGAGACTAATTAACAGAGACCAGGGAAACAGGGTACAGGTGAAACTAATAAACTCAGGAGGAAAACAAGGAAACTAAGAACTAACCAAGGAAACAGGGAAACATAAACCAACACTAGGGAATTACTAACAGGTAAAGACAAGCAGGGGCACAAGGAACAAAACCAAAACCAACTACAAAATCAGACACAAGAACTAGAGAAACTCAAATGAAACACTAGGGAACAAAATACAAAAACAGAGGAGGTGGGATTCAAACACAGGACAGAAGGTACACAGACAACTGGCTGCTCAACTTGTTGAGCCATGAGGCCAACAGAGAACAGGGGGGAAAAACACAAAGTCGGACATGAAGGACGGGATGACCAGCAACACCTGCTGGCCAAACGGGGAAGGTACACAGAGTGATACAACAGGGGCTGACCCTGACACTAATCTAGTGTTACTTTTCTGTATATGCCTTACTAAACGTTGAATGTTCTTTGTATCGTCCTTTTTTTGTAACGTCTTGTAAAAGCACCACCAAGGCAAAATATGGAAACATACTTGGCGAATAAAATGATTCTCATTTAACTTCTAACAGAGGAGGAACCAGGCTTATGGTTTAAAAGTGTATGGAACCTTTTGGAAGTTTATTTAGTGAGATTCAGGCCAGTTGACAAGCATGTTACACTTTCAGAGGCTGCAACGGTTGCAAACACCAGCAACCGTCAGATCGATCGATGTATTTACTCGGTATTCATTCATGTATTTACCCAGAGGCCGGCTTCAGGACAGGAAGCTGCTAAGAATGGCAGGAAGTGTAGAAGCCCTATTACTTCCTGTGGAGTTTGCAAGAGTCTGGACCTGGAAATAATGCTGGCATGGAGCCAGCCTCCCTCCGAAGGGCATGGGGAGAGGAGCCATGGCGCAAGGGCTTACGTTACAGCCCCCAGGTTCATTTAACTTTATCATTATATATCTGTTATCCCTCGATGTGCCACACGGTGGCGCCCATGAGCATATTACATGACTCTGCTTAAGATGCAGCTTCCATGCAGCCCCCATAGCTCCTACCCAGGTTTAAATCAGATGCAATCCAGCCCCCAACCAGCATCCAACAGCTTGGAGCGTGATGTCAGGTCCTAATGGAGACACAGGCCTGTTCCACCGTCAATGCAGGTGTTGAGTGAAACGAGGGCGGCAGCGTGTACAGCTTAATCACCGGGGCTGGCTCACCGCCTCATCTATCGGCCAGCCCGTCTGCCTCGCCTCGCCTCTGCTCTGCTCTCTCTGCCTGCTTCCCTCCCCTCACGGCTGTCAGACCACCACCATCCCATCGTCATTCTGCTCACCTGTCGTGCTGCCACCTCTGCTCATAGAGGGGGCAGTGTGGCATTAAGTGACACCCGTTTCCCTCTCTGTGTTCACGCTGCTGCGTAGGAGTGACCGTGGTGCTTGATCACTTTACATTGTGGTTAAAAACCTCACTTAAGTGTTTTTTTTTTCTTTTTAACAAGCCCAGGTTGAGAGAAACCAGCCAGCCTGCTTTGCCCAGGCAAGTCTCAGCGGACGGGGGTGGGGGCTGGGGCGGGCTGGACAAGTCGCAGCAGAACCATGCAATGCGGTTAATGCAGCAGTTACACGCCTCTGATGAATGGCAGCCTGGTGCTCAGGGTCTGGACGGTCAGAGTCAGCTGAGAAGGGGCTATGCTGTTGAACCTTTGAGCTACAAACTAAGGCCATACTGCTCCAGTAAGATGTCCAGCTGTATAAATTGGAATCGAGGCATCAGATGATCAGACAGACGATGACGCATAAAGACATGCACAAGCTACGTATTACTGCCCACACACAAATATCCGTGGGCGTCCCTGAAGTACACATCACTTCCTCCCCGTCACACGGGCAAACAGCCAACTTAGGGCCAGACTAAAGGGCCAGAGAGGAACAGGGGCTGTTCCTCAAGCAGCGATACCGTGACCTGTGAGTGCTCTTGTACTGACGTGTACATTTGGTAATACTTCACAGGAGTGGTAACACTAGTATCTTACTCCCAGCCTTCCGGTGCTGGGAAGCGGCACTGCTCACACGCTGAGAAGACCACGCCATCGCCCCACGCCCGGCGACGGATGCTGCTCCAACAACCCAAACACCCGCCAGGAACAAAAGTCGGCATTTAAACGGGCCGTCGGATTTCACGTTCCTCTTCCTGACCCCAAAGAATGGCCGAAATCACGGCAAACGGGTCGGCACCGGTCCCTGTCCCCACTGACAATGAACCAGGATGTCAGGGCCTCAAGCAGCAAGGTGACACTGTGTCCTACTCTAAACGTACTTCATATGGCAGTCTGACGTCCGTTTGAATTGCTTGCTCACGATTTTGATATCTGATGTTGGGACGTTTAGTTTTATAATTAGTTACCTTACTTTAAGTAACGGTGAGGTGTCTTAGCCATTAAAGAATGTCTACAAAGTATCGATCTGAGAGAGCAGCTCTTCCTTTCATTGGTCCCGTGTGAGCGACTATGTGACTAATGGATTATGGGAAGGATTTCCAGCACAGTGCCTATCAGTACGCAGCTCTGATAGTAAAAGGGGGCCGTGGATGTGGTCATTTTTGCCAGGGCGTCTACATCCAGGGACCAGGGCCACTTATCACTCCAGGGCCCCCTGCTGGGGGATTAACATGACGCCACAGAGTCGTGGCCCGCGGTTCACTCGCTATCTCCATGTCACACATTTCAGCCATATTTCACAGTGGTATGTAGGGACATGTTTACACTGTGAATGTGATCGGAAGGTTGCCGGTTCAAATCCCAGGGTCGGCAGAGTGACGTCAAGGTCCCTGAGCGAGGCCTTTAACCCCAAAGGGACTGGCTAGCATGCCCTCTAAAAATGTGCATCCCTTTCAATAAAAGCATCTTCAGAATAGATTAAATGGCATAATGGAATCCTGATGGACTCGTCAGTGTAGAGATAAGTACAGAAAAACACGAAATGAGGAAAACTGTGAATTCAGTCTAAAGAAATAAGTAATATTATTTTCTGTGCGATAAAGGAGACAACACAAGTATTCTGATAACACTTCTGATGGGTGAAATGAGGCTTCTAGGATTCGAACCTTTAAAGGTTTCTGCTCCTGGGAGGAGCAGCGTTCACCCTTGTCTGTTTTCAGGTGGGGGGGAGTGGTATGTCTTATGTTTAATGAATGGTATTAAAAGCATTTACAATTTATTAAATAGTTAACTTTATTAAATATCAGAAAACAGTACTTATTTTTATACGTGTTTAGAGGTGATTATATATTATACTTCAATGTTAATGTTAATTTAATTACATTTGCCATACTGACTCGTTCTGACGTTTGTGAGCAGCGTTGTCAGCTGGCTGGCATGAGATTTCCAATTCGAGATGTCTGCACACTCATTTACATGTAATTTTGCCTTAGATTTGCCACAGGATTTCTCGCGTGAGCGTCACGCCAGATGCGTGAGAGCTGGCGGCCCGGTGCGCATCACCTGAACGTATATCGGCCCTGAACAAACTGAGCAAAATGGGCCTGAAACACCTGATCACCTGAAACATTAATATAATTCTACTCACCTCCAGCATTCACACAAAACTTTCATCCACATATATAAAAAAATAGTATGAGACCAAATGGACATTATTAATCACCTAACGGGCCCAGCTAATTTACCATCCGCGTCTGGGGAGGGAGACTGGATGTGACCGCATCTTTGCCAGGGAAACGCATTAGCGCAGTTTAATGGTCTCTTCAAATGTCTCCCCCACTTTAGAGATACGGCACGACTGGTGTAAACGCATGGAAAATCAACCATTCGGTAATTATATGACATATCTCATCTAACGCACAATAACTAATTCTGCCAAAAATAATGTAGTTCTAAACTGAACTGGACGTGTTGTATTTATTTATTTACCGTCCGTTTTCTTTTTCTAACCAACAATGTTTCGGTCACGGTCTCAATCCAGGTAACCGGGGCTGGTTGGCACAGTTTTCATCCAGCGTGTTTTATCTCGATCAGGCATGGGTTACATTATGATAACCCAGCTACCTGGGTTAACTTTATCCTTAAATCTCATAATATCGGATACATTTAAACATCGCCTAGTAGACTAATAAGAACAGCAATTAAGCAAAATCGTGCCCATTGAACATTTTAAACGTCATATTCTTGAATTCTTTCTCAAATGATTTTTCAAATAAACAGCTTGTTTTTAATTGTTGAACAAAAAATCTATTAAAATACACTGTGTACTATGTACCGACCAACCTCAAAAATCTATGTCCTATCCAATCCCAGCTGCACTCTGTGAACTTCAAGATTCCAAGAGGCAGACATCGCAGGCATTCAGATCTAATACAGCTAATCTCCATCTCTGTTGGTACAATTAATTTATTTTCGATATTTCACGCAGACAGATACAAAATACACAAAGTGATAGCCACCTTAGCAGTGAACAGCCTTCCGATTTCTTGGCAAGATGGATGGGTGTAGTTTATATGGGTCCTCTTATAATGTTGGATTTCTGCGAAAGATCCCTCTGCAACCAAACACCGGTCTCGCCAAAATATATGACACTGCCCCAGCAAAAAGCCATGAAGGAGGGTCAAATGCCGCGGCTAATTTCATTTATACGAATAAATGCAACTTTAACGTACTTTTGGATAAATTAAAACTGAGTCAAAATCGTTTTTACTAGAGTTTTTCAAAGGATGATGTTTATATACGTTACATTTTGTTAGAAACATTAGGCAATATCACATTTTATACTTTAATGTGATAGGAAAGCTTAGAGTAACACTTTCAGTATTTCCTGTATATGTATTATGAACTTTTTGGCGTAAAAGCAACTCGATCATCCAGACATTTCGTTGTTATAGGCGATGTTAAGTCAGACACGTTTGGAATATGAATCACCTGGATAAACCAAGGCGTATACACGCCGTAAAATTCACGTCCCAAAACCGTCCTTCCCAGTGCTAGTAAGGGATCACAGTGCGGCTGCATTGTTAATACATTGTGATCAATAGCAAAGCTCGTTTTGAAACGATGCTGCCAAGTTTTCTACACAGCGGTCGCGATCTCTACGTTACATCGATAATCTGCGCAACTTTAAGCAATAAGAAGTCCTTGACTTACCTCCGATAAGGGTTATAAATAGCGAGCCGTGGCAACGCGCTGCTTCTCTCGTCCCCAGTCCCCTTTTAAAGCAGGTGCCGCACCACATGTGAAACTGGAGCCAGGCGGGGTGCTTTAAAAGGGAAAGTGCACATGGACGGAGCTGCCCCGATCCCGGGTTAGACGGCTGGCTGGAGGAGGGGAACAGCCTCGCTGTGGACTGCAGGACCCACTGCTTGACCCAAACCCACATCGGCTGAAAGCCTCTGCCTTGTGCCTGCGACGTAAAGCATCACGCGCCGAGTGATTATAGATAAACCCAATTAAAGACCGAGTCTATGGGAACTATAATGCAACGCGTAATTAATGTATTTCGATGTACAAATGGAGTCGGAAGAGTATTTGGTGGCCGGAGATGGTAAGGGCACAGAGGTCTAGCAAGCTCTCTGCAGGACTGGGTTCTGTGCTCTCCAGCAAGCTGTGATCCTTACCGCCCAACAACGCTGACGGTTCCTCATGCAAAGACGCACCGGAATATTATTTCTTGGATTTACTGTTTTTTGCGAATAGCTTCTTAGACGAGAATCGCTCAAGCAGAAAACTTAAAAAAAAAACCCCATTATATTTAATTCACGTTTTTTTCTGATTAATGCAGAACCTTCGGATCGTAGGCGCGGGAAGGTACTTTGAGCTCATGCCGCTGTAAATTGGAAAGACCAATAGACGATACTGAAGTTCTTTTGTAATATCGGTAACTCTCAGTAACAACGGCAATCTTTTAGGAGAAATAATCATGTTGCCTCTGAGCCATTGTGAGATAATTAACATAACACTGTTTTTCTTTGCTGAAGCACCTCAGCACCTCTACTTCCAGCGCTACTGCTTCAGATAACTGCGAATATAGTCATGTATCAGCAGGGTTATTTGGGTGCCTGTGATGTGGAAAGACAAACACCGTAAGCCCAACCCTACCGATGCGGTAGACAGACTATTGCAAACACAGATCTGAACGCTGGTTGGTCCAGGTCAGACACATTCCGATGTGTGACTGTGAGGATAGACAAGTGATGTGAACGATTGTCTGATAGCATCACTTTCAGGTTATGCTCAATATCTAACTGCAAAGCCTAGATTATCTCACTTTCCATTCGAACAATTCCTCATGTGTTGGTAGATGTGAGAAATCTAGTGTCCGACTATACTGTAGGACCTGTGAACATGACCCCCAGTCTATGTACTGTAGGACGTGTGAGCATGACCTCTAGTCTAGCTTCTTTAGGACATGTAAGCATGACCCCCAGTCTATGTACTGTAGGACGTGTGAGCATGACCTCTAGTCTAGCTTCTTTAGGACATGTAA